TGCAGGAAGTTTTTTTCAGTACATCCGATGTTCCGAACGATGCCGATTTAAATCGAAGCGGGTTGGTTGGTGTATATGTCTCGTAAAGTATACGACGTAGCCAACCTCCATGGCAAAGTTCTATGGACACTGGTATCATTATGTAGTCGTAGCAGAATTTATGCCAATCCTTACATGGAGAGCATACATGGCAGGGAAACGGTGGATCGTGCTCCAAAATTATTTGGGGACTGGAAACTGTTTTCAAGACCTCAAGATATTCTTCTTTGAGTATAACATTTAAAGATGTTCTATGAAGAGTGTACCAGGAAACCAACGCCTTCTATAAAATCTATTTGAATTTAACGTGGATAGGCGAACTGCATACTATTTAAGAAGTCAGTTTTTTATCAAGAGACTGACTGTACATTCTGCACATCGTCAGAAAATACAATATGAGACCAAATTTGTGTAATACAGCTGGATTACAACATGTGCGAAGCCCGTGCTCTTGGCCTGACCTGCGCGCCTACCAAACCTTGAAAATTCTGAACTTCAGGCGCTAATTTTGCACCAGTGTGTACCTTGTTGTTCATGTATAGTAAGTTCAAAGTAAACGCTTAGTGCCGTCAGTGCACTCAGGTAAAATTATTCGGTTTATGGACCACATTTACAGAGGGTGCGCGAAATTAGTGGGTCAGAATACCCTATACACCCCCACTCTTCCCCCGGAGGCATGACACAGAAATGGGAACGCCTCACGTCCTACAGGCGGCCTTGGGCTAACTTCCAGAATGAATAAATATGACAGTCCTAGCCATATAGCCATCTCCTAGTTCACCATTCACATCCGCCACGCTGATGGTACGAAGAATGAGGTGGATGACCCTCCGTCTAGACCTTCCCCCTCTGCATTTCAACTCTCTCAGGGGATTGACTTTAGTGCTATGGCGGCCGAGCAAACACGAGTCGCCTGTCCTGGCGACGAAGCCGTTAGTAGGTTCCAGCTTGCGGAAGTTCCCCTAATCACGGGACTGGCGCCATTCTCTGTGATGTATCGACTCCTTTTCATCGTCCGTTTGTGCTAACCTTGATGCATCGAGCTGTGTTTCACATTCTTCTTGGACTCTCGCACCCTGGGATCTGAGCCTCACAAAAACTCCTAGCGGAAATGTCTATCTGCCCTGGCATGAAAAAGGATGTTAAAGCTTGGGCTCGGTCCTACCCGAGTTGCCAGTGGAGCAAGGTTGAACGCCACAACATGTCTCCACCCGGCAATTTTCCCAGCCCCGACGCTAACTTCAGCCATGTGCATCTCGATGTTGTAGGCCGCTTGCCTCCATCCAATGGCTTCACCCATCTTCCTACCTGTGTGAACCGCTACACCTGCTGGGCAGAAGCCGTCCCGCTGCGGAACGTGCAGGCAAACACCATCTTAAAGGCCTTCGTCAGTCGTTGATTCGCCATTATATGTGCGCCATCTACGGTTACCACTGGTTGAGTTGCTCAATTCGAGTCTGACCTTTTCCACATCCTTCTCAAGTTTCTTGGTTGCACTCGCATCCGGACGACTGTGTACTACCCAGCTGCCAATGTTATGGTTGAACGATTTCACCCTCAAATCAAGGATACCCCGCGAGCTGCAGATGACCCAGGCAACTGGTCGGACAACCTGCTCCTGGTCCTCGGAATTCGCTGGAAACCGAAGTCGGATATGGATTGCAGCGCGGCCGAGCTGGTGTTTGGCACAATCCTCCGACTTCCCGGCGAGGTGGTCAGTCCACCTCGCGGTCCCGAAGAGACTGACGACAATTTTATCCATCGTCTCCGACAATTTATGCGCTCTCTTTCCCTGGTCCCGCTTCGTACTTACCACCTGAGTCTTACG